TCAAGCACTGCTCAACTGTTTGCGATGCCGCAAAAGAAATAACCATTAATATATAAGTAACATATAAATCAGATTATGTACAAACCATAACTGTCACGTTCGATCTGATAATATTTAACAAAATTCAACAACAGCACTTATAGCAAGATCAAATGATTTGAAACTAACCTTAAAGCAAACACTGTCGGCGAGGGTATGATAAAGCCAGAAAGTACGGGTCGTGATAAAGTAGGCGATAACTACGTCAACGGAATAATGACCGTGTGAAATGAGCAGACAGAAGATGCCGGCCAATGACACCAACCACGTTATCCAGTGAAAAATCCAAAAGCGCGTTGGCGAGTCTAAAATAGTCTATGTATATATACGCAATTTTCGGAAATCGTCGATGTTTTTAGTCATACACGGCAAGTTATCAAGCTGCAGCAATATAAACAATTCTGTTAAGATAAAACCGTTACGATGAAGTTTGGTTTATAATGAGGGTCATAACAGATCAGCGAGGCTCTGCTCAGGACTCCCATTCAGGCCAATATACGAATGAATAGGGACAACGGTACGATCAAACAAATATCTGGACTAAAAGGAAGCTGAAACTACCGCAGAAAATAGAGCTATTGACAAATCTGCTCGCAATCACCTTTCATGAGACTTGCTTGAGACATATTTACAACTGTCATTTTTGTCAGCATTTTATTGCTTGAATGGAATCATAAGTGATATACTATTTAGCAAAACATAATATCTGCACAATTATCAAAATGCCATAAAAAACAGACCACTAGAAACAAAAAATGGCAAATAAACAGAGAAAACAGGCAAAATAACAATTACAAAAATCTACTGTGCTACCAATTTTGTAACAGAAGTTTGCTTCAATTCGTACGGCAACAGCATGGCCAGAACAATCCTAACTCATAATAGTCAAAGCAAACATCAGTTAAACGTTTCATTTTCTTGATATAGGGTCTATCACGATTGAATGCTGAGCAAGAAGTCAGTAAAAGCTTATTGAAGAACAAATGAGTAAGGCCGATTGTAAAATGCTCAAAAGAAATTATTACCTGTTAAACTTGGATGTCTGGTGAAAATGTTGATGTATTTTAAACTTTTTCCAACGTTTAAATTTACGTTCACACTTCATGCTGACTTTTAATCAGACGAATTGCGGCCGGAAGGTGCGCGTTTCAGACAGATGGCCGTCTGTCTGGCACACTTTGGCATCCCTACACAAAAACACAATTATGCAGTCATTATTGTCCGTCAATGTCTTGCTGCTCGTTTCACGGCTGGCTGCATCTAAGTACAGGGGAGTGGAGTCCATGCGCAAGGGACTTAATTAGCAGGTGATTAGAAAAAATTTACGCCGCTCCTGGGGTTTGAACTCTGCATCTCAAAAGTGCAAAGCAAACTACGAACATATTTTGTCACTGTCCCCTGACAGAGCACAGCATTTCGAAGTATATCACGTCGCTTTTGATTCTGTCAGACTGTGGCATGCAACAGTAAAAAACGCGTTCTCTCAGATCCCATACAAGGTGTAATCACTTGTTTAAATCTTTCTAGACAAAACTGTTCTTGTAAACCATCAGCAATTGCTTTTAACCATCAGCAAATGCTTTACCCAAACATAATCCTCTAATGTTTTGGGTTGAAAAGCGTACTTGCAACGATGAACTATGCTGCCAGAATTGTAATGTAGGGAGAAGTAGCACAGTAGCAAGATGTCGGCTTCAAACTCCAGATGTGCCAAGTTGAAACCCTCAATAAAATTTCTAAATAGCAAATTCATTCGACGCTGCTTCGCTGCAACCAACCAAAAATGGGTAGCAAAGTGCTGACCTGTGAACAACAGAAATGACACGGTGTTCTGGTGTGGTCACATTGAAATGGGCAGGAGATGCGGGTGCAAATCGCCATGAGACCCGACTACTCAGCGTCATAAACAACACAACACTATAAACCATTAACCACAACTAGTCCTTGCTACTGACACAAACCCCATGTTGATGGGGTCAAACTGTGACGCGTTGAGCAAACACGATATTAGTTATGGGGACGATGCGAGTTTCCTGCACATTAGGTGTAAGGAAATTTGAATCATTCCATGATAATATAAATGGTACAAAACAACACTGCTTGATTGAAAAGGCAAAGTTAAGAACTCATCATTGCCATTTAAATTAAGAGTCACGTCGGTTTTGATCCTTTCAGATTGACGTTTTCAGCAACAAGAACATAAGACCGAATTTTTATGGCAACCGTTTGACGGTTGTATCAATTTGTTTATGAATAATTGCCAACGATTATAATCGAAACGGCCATAGCGATTCGCAGCAATACAAAGGAGGAAACAATGCACAATCAACCAGTCAGATTACAAGGCTGCTTATCCTTTCGAGTCACGGAGGCAGATGCGTCAGACAGTGTTTCTAACGTTGCCAGCCCTGTGCTAGCGTCTGAGCTTTGGCAGAAAATAACTCAGATTTGGAGCAGAATCCTCCCATAAACGTGTCACAGATCAATTATTGCCATCCCCGGGGTCCTTGGCCGGCACGTTAGACAAGTAGTAGCTGTTTCGCTTTCCTTCCTGGAAACTTTCTGAAACTCTTCAAACCATCGCTGCAGTAACTTCCCTATCAGGAGCAGCAACGGCATATATATCCAGACTTTCTGTAACTCTCTCGCTCTCTCTATCTCTCTCGGACTTCTGTATTTCAGACCATTCGAGACCAAGAAGGAGAGCGATTCATTCCAGAAAAACCACTGCAGCCGCCTGCATTCGGGATCGAAGTTTTTCAGTCATGGCACACGACTCATTACTATAGGTGAGCATCGGAATGAAGACAGACTTGGATACAGAGAACTGAGCCTTCAGACTCATGTGTGACTCAGTTCAACGGTTCGCGGTACTTTACATTCGGTTTAATTCCGCTGGGGATTCCAGTAGTCAGTCGATCTCTTCTTCCCATTTTCCCACCAATGAACATGACCCGAGGTACCTGCACTTCTGCACCTGTTCTGCTTCTCCGTTTATCTGAAGAGAACGAGCACGAGAACGAAAGAGCACTATGCTTTTCACCTTAGACTCTTCAGGCATCAGTGCATATTCTTACGAATAATAATTACATAAAGTAACGAATAATGGAAAGCAGACAATACCTCAGATCAGGCGGCGTATGAAAATGCTCAGTGCCAGGAGATGAGTCGAATGGGGGAACACAGTGAGCAACTGCACAGGAAATCAGGTATGTGCAAAACATTTTACGCAAAGCATTGTACATCGACCTAAATATCTTGCAGCGTTGCTCCTACAATACTTATATCTGATGGTATAAAATTTTGATAGAATATGAATGCTGAATTAGATGATTCACAGTTCGTGCTCAAGTGCAAAACATACGGAGAGATATTTCAAGTTATTACTAGTTCACTGGCGGCTTTCGCTGCCGACGGCCAACGATATAGCATCCTCATCGTTATCCACATTAAATAAAGTAAACTAGTGATAAGAATTGATAAGATAAACGCACTGGCTGCTGTTCTCTGTCCCATGATCCAGTTCTCACTAATCAAATGACACGCTTCTTAGGAGTCTTTGAAACACGCATCAAATTATCGGCAACGTCCTAGTTTTAACATACATCAACTACGTCGAATATTCAATACACACCTGTTCTTCGTGTACAATATTAAACGCTTTCTGAGGTCGGTGCTTACTACATACTTATAAGAATTGGAAAACCTTAAAAAAACCAAGATTAAATCAGTTCAGTTGCTCCAAGATACGTAAGAGTTTTAATGCATATTTTGCTAGAAATGTGAGCCACTCTGATTCATTTTTATTTCATAACGCCGAGTATTACTGTTTTGAACATCATGTAATTCTGGAGACACTTTGCCATACGAGTTCATGTAACAACAGAAATTTGAGAAAGTGAACAATTCTGCTGCAAAGGTTAAAAATCTAAGACTTGAAAGGTGATGTCTGTCTGAAAGGAAGTCGCATTAGATAGCAGTTTTTTCAGATTAATGCTTTTCAACACAATGGTTCAAAGCAGCGCAAGGTGGCAGGATGGCAAAGAGGTCAGTTTGAACTACGGAGGCGCGAAGTTCGAATCGAGAGAAGGAGGGAACTGTTTCAAGCAACGAATTTGTTTTCACTTTGTTTCGATGCAAACTGGAGGCAAATGAGCAGCAAGTCGTTACATGCGAACAACTGGAACAACTTGGCAAATGGTCATACAAAAACTGGAAAAGGGTGCGGCCATGCCGTCCGAAGCAAGCGCTTGCTGCAGCTACACATAACCATGGATCCCCGCAACCAAGCATGATAATTAACTCAAGATGTAACACAAAAAAAAGGAAAAATTAGCTTGAGAAACCTTGGCAAACAATACCGTCTTGGTGGAAAGATTAAACAATAGGACTGTTTTCATTAGAGGCCACTGCTAAAATGCTTCAGTATCTCAGGATGCGATAACCAAAGCAAGGTTACAGCGAAGCAAGAGGAGTGAAGATGTCAAGATCAGAAATCCGGGAGAATAAACAACGACCAACTATATGAGATAACATAGATCAAAGGAATTCAGCTGTATCTTCTCTCTCTCTCACAGGAATGAATAATATGCCACCAAATGTAAGTTAAAAACCAATGCAGCTCGGAGGTGATCACCTGCTCACCGTCACAAGGCCAATGGTACTGCACTGAAATGCATTAGATATCATTAAACGGGACTATTATATCTACATAGAAATCAACATGAACAGCTAAGCAACCACTATAGCACACTGTATACTGTTACCTTTACCCAAAGATGGACTCACTGATATATCTCGGGAGGATTATGATGAAAGAATCAACTAACTTTCGACTATGAGTACTTTACGGGCACTCTACCTTGCCGAATGCCGCATCCTAATGAGCGGTCGCCAACGGATTAGCTGCAACCGTGCTGTGGAGTAAGACTGAATGTAAATAGCTACGTGAGATGTTTTATTTAACCTTACTAACTTTTTGCTCTTTTATCTTGTTCCTTTTCTGAAAGTTAGGACAGATGAACCAGTTTCACAAACGTTACTTCACAACAACGTTGAACATAACAAGAATGTTATCAGACATCAGTCATTTGTTGAGCTTCAGATGCAAGAAATCAGTATTACTTACATTCCTTGACCACTAAGTAGGCCAATATTAGAACCACCGTATGACCACTGTATATGTAGTCGCCACACAGCGTGTATCGGCCAGATATGTTAAGTCCAACTCCGAAAAACAGGTGAGAAGCCCTGCTGAAAACGACGGCGATGGTCGTCACATTCAGCTAAAAAATATAAGCGGTATATTGATGAAAAAGTCATTTATATCAAAACATTTAATCTAGTAGACATGAAGCTTGAAAAAATTCAAACAGTTTTTTCAGCAAAGCATTCGAACGACAAATGAACATAATATGCGAGAGAGAAAAAAGAACGCTTATAGAATTATTTGGCGTGAAGACCACTGCATTATATAGTTTAATTCCCTGAGGGAAAATAAGGTCTTAAACAATTATTAAAGGAAAACAAGGAAGATATATCTCATTACCCGCTGGGACAACTTGCGGTAGTCATTCTCTACGGTTGTGGTGCGTTGGCATAGCGTCTGAGAGATCCGTTTCGAGTTTTGGAGGTTCCGGGATCGATTCAGCTTGATGGCAACATGACTCGTTCACGAATACCTTTAATTAGGAATCTATCACCAGACCGGGGTTGCTAAGCGAACAGAGCGTCGAATTCAAAACTGACAGGTCCTGATTTGAAGATTCCTTCTGAAGTTAATAAGTTCTACGCTGTGGGAAGGAAACAGGAGACTGCACGCTACGCTTACAAAATGGGTGTAGACTCTGCCTTAAAAAATAAGCCACTCCTGGCTGATGACGATCAGAAACAAAGACCAGCACCGCACTAAAACTTCACGAAAAGAAAAGCGCGAAATTGCCCTATCATCAAACTGAAGGAAGACTGCTATTTCAACGGTGACCAACTTTCTTTCACTAACGGCTGTGCTATGGTAAGTTAGTTCTAGTTGGTTCAAGCAGATACATCTTTTTATTTTATGGCTATCACTACGAAAGAGGTACAAGTTTTTTTTAAACACAGATTCAGCATTTCAGTTTGTTGAAATCAGAGTGAGAAGAGACATTAAATATACAAGTGTAAGGTCAGTTTGTGCTGTAGACATTTGAGGAATGTTTCGCTTATTGTTAACGAGGGAATTAATTAGACCTAAAGTGCAAAAAACATCAAGGCTACTTCTTCCATTCACCTGCGAAGCGATTCCTTGATTAATCGCTTCATTTTGTCGCAGTGTACGATGGCCACTGTGAAGACCACGTGGATGAAATCCTAACAATCTTTCAAGGTTTGGTCATGAAGCACAGATAGTCAGCGCTACGGTTACTAATGGCATTACTGTTGTGTTCGTCCGTCTAATTTTCAACAGTCTACAAGTCTTGTCAACGCAAATTTGGTTACAGCTATTAGATGTGGTTTGAAATTCGATGATTCAGCCGTCTAGGCTGGGAAAAGATCAAGTTTCTCATAAAACAGGTTTCCTTAATCGTTAAGGATTCTCTAAACAGAAACACATGTCAAAGAAACGCGTTTTAAATGGTCGAGGTTTTTTTAGGTGTACCAGAACGAAAAGCATTGAAACTGGACCTCATAATCAAAGATGGACAGAAAAAAATTCAGGAGTTTTAAATGCAGCACTAAATAAATATTCCTGATATCAGATTTAAAGAAATGGCAATTAAAAACGACCGACTTCATTAATGATAACTGATCATCTCTGCAACAACTTGAACGTACAGGATATATGCATTTGATAATACTGGTAAAGGGTGATTTAGGAGCGCAAGACGATATGAAAATTCAATGCTTACAGCATCGTGGCTTTCTGCATATTGTAAAGGAGAAGGAACTATTAGCGTTTCTTTAACAGGAATGTTGAGAAACGCCACCTGACCATCTTGGTGCGCTGATGGAACCTAGGAACAGTGGCGTCAGTTTCTCCAACATTTCATCCCCTCCCATCAAACCTATTAAGTATCCTTATTAACAAACAGTCGCATGTTTCGCCCAGTCAGGTTAAACGCCAACCATCCAAGATAGATGCATACGGTGTTGTTCAATCGCTGATGATGTCAGATGGCCATTAAATGAAAAATTGCTTCCTCGCTGCTGACCACGCAGTCAGCAGAAGTATCACCTTCCAGTAATTCATATCATGTAATGGGAAAAATTCAACGTTATGCCGGTAACAGAAGTAGCCATGAGAAAAATCAAACAACTGTAATGATGGATTATGATTCGTAATGACTCGACGAAAGGAGTTTAAACCATGGAGCACAGAACATAGAAAGAAAGAATACAAGCAAAACTGGCATGAGCAAGTGAGAAAACTACCTTGAACTGGGTGCAAATACGAAGGACTCAGGCAAAAGGGATAAGCATAAGAAAAAAGAAAGAAGTGAGAGAATATCGTGAATCAACACAAAATTCTGTTGACAGACCACGGTTAAGATGTGTTTACAACAGACAGATCTGTGGTTTTCCACGAGGGCGGAATGCAAACAACAGTGTTCATTCTGAGCAAACGCAGGCAAAGATACGCCATCAGCGAAAATAATGAAAAGCGTTCATCACAGCATCATAGTTAATGATCTGCGCTTCCTGAAAAAAAGTATAAAGGAAGAATCACAGAAGGGATGGTTTGAAGATATGTTGCGAACGCTTCCCGAAAGGAAGGCGAAGCAGCGACTACTTGTTCAGCTGACCTGCACACGACCCCGGGAAAGGCTCTACAATGATCTAAGCAAGTACCTTGGGAACTCTGCTCCAAACATGGGTTACCTGTCGCAGAAACTTACACGTGCGAAGGAATATGGAGCTCTAGAGACACTGTCTGACCCTGCAGCCTCCGCCACTTCTGACAATAAGCGATTATGAAAACTGACTGACTCTTCCGCCAACATAGATGCAAAACAATTGCAGAACGAAACTACCGTTGTGTATTCACGCCCCCTATTCTTCAACCGCAACTCACTGCATTACTGAGGTAAACTGCATATCATTTAAGGATTTAGAGATGCACGTTGTATTTCTATATGCTTTCCTTTTATTTTGAATTGTATATTTGTGATTTTAAGCGCATAGCATGCATATGTTTATTACCGCAGTGCGATATAGTACAGATTTTGCTAAGCGCTAACAAAATTATTATGCAGCGACGGTGAGGCGAACAATAGATGCTACTTATTTCTGCCTCAATGAAAAAGAAAGGAGTAAACGTGTTCATACTTTGGGAGAGCAGACGTAAGTTGTATCTGCAACCGGAACCTGCGTCACCAGCAGACACACGCTACGTCCTAAGTACAGAAGGGACGATATGAAAAATACTCTGCGTAGTACCATCCAGCTAAAAGCGAACCTGAGCATCAAACGATAACAAACGTGACATACCGGTATTTGTGAATAAAACACAAGAAAAACATTGCGAGAGAGTTGAACAGGATGAAATATTCCGAAAAATCGAGCGCTCGCGGAAAATGAGGGAAGATGCGAAAGAACAGATCCGGAAGCGGCGAAGAGGCTGGAACACGATCGTGAATCCATGCAAGTGCCAGCAAGTTGATAACTGCGCTCAGAACCAACATCAGAAACGCAATCTAAAGCACAGCATATAGGTAAATAAAACATTCACAGTAACATGACAATGAAAAACTGTGCTGAATCCTCAGCTTTCATGCAAAAAACAATGCTTGAAGCATTCGTCTGTGTTACATCGTGCTGTGTGGTATAACAACTTGCTGTTGGCATTCGACCGTAGATCTAAGCAAGCTAATATGCAATGAGCAACTGCTCTTTAGCTGCAACCGTGCACGGTGCTTCGTCAGGAAAATGATTTGCGTGGGAGATTCTGACATAGGAGAAAACAGCAAAACGGTTGCATGTGTCATAATCCTTCGTTTCTAATCGTGAGCAACAGCCAACATTAGAACTATATATAAAAGCAAGCTGATACTAACAACAGTTAGTTTTGGTCTGTGGTAAATTAACACTTCAAAATAATAGGTAATATGACAATCATGCCGCTATCATTGGCAGCACACAACCGAAAGTAATGTAAAAGGAATAAGCACCAAAAACTAAGAAACTCCATCCAAAGTCATTTACTCACACTTACGACAGATTGATCGAAATGAGATTCTTCAACGGACTGCTGGCAGAAAGTAGCTCGGTAAAGTACGGAATAGGGCAGTTCCGGGTAAGCTTGAATTGTGAACCACTCCATCGAGAGTTCACAATTATGATGGTTTGGACATGTGGAGAGAATATTACAGTAGACTTGTCAGGTCTTCGCGGTCAATCTTTGTTTTAACTACGAATTCCTTTGAGTCAGAAATTTACCATACGCTGCAACAGACCCAGTTTGCTCCGTCGGTAGAGAGTCGGACTCTGAAGCAAGAAGCACCGAGTTCTGATATGAGTCATTCGCCTTTCTTCCTTTCAAAGCTGATAAATGAGTACCATTCTGTGGGAAGGAAACAGGAAAGTACAGACTATACATACACATAACTACGGTTGACTATGCCTTTAAAATAATGCAATCCCGACTGATGACACGAGAATAAAAATTAGTAACCAACCATTAACTTCATAAAAAGAACGGTGCCAAAAATGGCCCCATTATGAAAGTGCAGGATGATCGATATTCAAATAGTTACAAGCTTTCCTATTTAGCAGCCGCGAGGCAAATAGCTCTACTTTACTGAGTCTCTTCAATGTAGAGCATTTGAATGCAATCCATGAATCGCGCTTGATTGAACGAATGAGAATATCAGGTGTATGAGAAAGATTTCCTTAGGTAACGAGTCTGAAAAAACAAAAAATGATATTGATTTGCCTCATCGTTCAACGTGTCGCGCTTTTCTATTCGTTCAGTAATTTTGTTTTGTTTCAGGCATACTGTCGAGAAGAATTTAACCCCATGCCGAATACTCTTCGTTTCTGAATGCACTGACTATGATGTTTTAAGTATCATTATTGCACGCTGAAAAGGAGTTCACGTTTCAGGTTCTGAACGATTCGTTATTTCAAGTGTTTCCCTATCTTTGAACCGTGTTTTCCATTCAAGTATTCCGATCAGAATATTAAAAAAATTATTACTGAATTTAAAATACCACTAAATCAGTATATAGAAAAACTTTTTTGTAAACCTACACAGCATGACTGCACCCACTTAACGTTAGGGTCCCAGGTAAACATTTCAGCTGAAGGTTCTATGATAACTTACACAGCGTCGACAGAAACCACAATGCTCATGATCAAAGTAAAATACCATGTTTGTATAATTTCAAGAGTTCGTCACAACACAGTCTCTGATTTTCCGTCTCAAATGAGGCAAAGAAGGCATTCTCGCAATGGTGTGTTAGAGCAACTTTCGTTTTGGAGTAACTGATTAGTTTTGCGCATAAGTCAGCACAGAAAATTGATATTTATGTCAGGGCAGGGTTAGGCAGATTTCGTTATAAGTGAAAGTAAGGTATTTCAGCACCTTTGCCGATGACGCGAAAAATGCCACAAGTATATAATAGAGCCGAAGATAAATCTCCTGAACCGCACGACACTCACCACCAGTTTCACAGGTTCCTTTTGGAACCTCTTTTCCTCAACACTGATGCCATCGTCGATGTCTAAAAGCTCATTGGACAACTGGGACTGCGACACGTTATCAGTGTTGACCCGTTTGCCGCCGTCGTCGCCATACGGTACTTCGTCGCAGTTGTTCTGGCCGATCTCCACGACTCGCATCGGCACCAATGTGTACGTGTTGCAACCATTCAGCAAACGCATGGGCGTCGTGAAAGCGGTGGTTCCAATCTCGGCTATCGTTTGTCTTTCAAGCAAGCAGCCTGCTATGTCGACAAGCTCATTCAAACACCGCAGGCGATAGCTACACTATCGAAGTTGCCCTGAATAAACACGATGCATCATTAGCTACTGAAAACTAAGAAAGCAATCACTGATAAACGAGCAGATATAGTTCAAACAACAGAAGTTAGTGTAGAATGGCAAAGTGTGGTTAAACCGCAGTGTAACGAACCCATGCTGAAAAAGGCTAAGAGGCAGGTCGAAGCATTCACAGCTGGAAAGCAAAAGGAATGAACGAAGCTGACATCGATGAAGCTGGGCCACATTTACCGAAAAATTATAGGCTAACCCTGGCAGAGCAGAAAGACTGACTTGCGACCCTATAAGATTATGTAGGAATGGAGGCAGTGAAAATAGTAACAACAAAAGCCACAGCGTCAAACTCTTTTGGCATCAATAAATAAAAACATCAGGATCTTAACAGAAGGATATCATGTGAACTTGAAAAACGCCTAAAATCAGGTCCTCAGCTACCATTAAAATATGGGTCACAATAAATGTTCACAAGTTAACTACGTAACCATAAAAAAAACTCTTAGTGTAAAAATGAGTATAGCATCGATACACGTGACAGTATCCGTGATCCGTGAAAAATATATCGGCATTTAGCGCGCCCGCTGTGTCTTAAAGCAAGCAAAAAAAGGCTAAGGGTGAAAACGAAAGGAGGAAACAGCTTCGCCCTGGAAAGAATCATGAATGAGTACAGATATGGATTAAGAGGATGAACTAAGGGTGAAGAGAAAAAGGATACCTGATAGAAAATCGCCAATGAAAACATCGAGATCGTACACAGATAATGTTGTTGCGACAGTGATATCAGGCTAACAACGTAAGAGGAGTAAAGCAGCTTTTGATGGTAATGTATAATCATTAGAAGTTTTGCCTCAAATTTTCATCGCGCAACGTTCCCCGCCGCTGTGGTAGGGGACG